TTTATTTCATTTAATTTTTAGGATCTTATTATATTTCTTTATTTAATCTTATTTTTGTCTTTTTCAATTTTTGTTTTTTTAGAATTAGTTCTAAAAATTATAATTTTTTTATTTAATTTAATTTTTAAGTGTTATTTTCTTTTTTTATTTAATTCTTTTCTTTTTCTAATTTAATTTATCTTTTATCTTTCGAAAAACTGTGACGAGTTGAAAGACATTTGCCAGAATTGCCCTGTAAAGCTACTTATTAATGTATAAAAATCATATTGCTACTTAAAATGCATATTAAAATTCATTTGTAATGATTACGGCTCGGAATCTCATGCACTAAAAATTCAAAAATATGCGCCATAAATAAGTAAAATATGCAATTAAAAATATATTTTTTCACTTATTTAATTTGGTTTTAGTTTATTGGATTCACTTAGTTCACTCATTTATGGTTAATTTTTTGTAGTTCTGTAACCACTTTCAATATTTTTAAAAATATTATTGTATTGCCATAAATTTGTTCGTTACAAAATTTACGATATTATGACAATACGACTCATTACAACACCCTGCAAGTCCCTTAATTTTTAAATATTTTTTTCTCTTTTAGCGGCTCCTTTCGGTCTGCAAACGCCCACAGTCGGACATATCGGTAAGCTATTTATTGTAAACAAATATTTGAAGCTTTAATATTGTATTGACGTTTGTTTTATTCTTTTCCAGAAATTCATAAGTGATTTACTTGATCGTGCAAAGACGCTGTAAATTAGCTGCGCTGGCGCGTTTGTTACTTTAGTTTTTTATGTGTAATTCCACGCAAAAAACGAATATATAAATTATAAATTTAGTTAAAACAAAAAAAAAACTAAAACATAATTCAGTTGATATTAGCGTTTAGCTCTCTACAAGTATATAATATTTTTTAAATTTATTGATCTTATTTGATTTTATTTTCTTTATCAGAAAATCAATTTAGTTAATTTACTTTAATTGTATTTAACCTTATTTATTACTAAGCACAAACGATAATTTAAATAAAAAAACTTTTGTATCAAGTCGCAGAATATAAATAACACATTAGATTTTAATCGGTTACATAGTAAACACGAAACAAAGTAAAAATAAAAAAACAAAAGTGTAGTATAACCAAAAAATATTCATACAAGCTAAGTCTAATACTAGATTACAGAAATTATAGTCGCATTAAAATTAAGGCAAAGTAAAAGCATGACAACACAGAACAAGAAGAAATCTCAAACCAAAAGAAATTCGCGAAAAATAAAATAAAAATAAAGAATCAAATAAATAACTTTAATTTGTATGTGAGGCAAAGCTGACGTTGATTATTGTATATCACTGTATTTATACAGTATGGTGGTAGAAATAGGCTTCTGAAGTAAAACAAAAAAAAAAAAATCTTAATTGTATTCATCAAAAAAGTCATCTCACAAACTTCATACATATTTACATTTAATGCTTAAAATACACTTGTATGTACGCAATTTATTTGCAAGATTAAAATAACAGACTAGATTACAAGCACTCAGCTTTGAGAAATAACAAAGTAACTTACATTTTTGGTTTCTTTTTTAAGCGTGAAAATTTTTAAGTCAAACCCTAACACTTTAATGACAAAGAAAGAGGCATTAAAGCCCAGTAAAAAATAGCGTTATTTTCCCGATGAGCATACTAGCAATTTTCCAAAAGTGTGCTTTTAATCAAAAAAAAAAAATAAATCATAATCTTTGGAGACAAATTGTCCAGCTTTGATGAAATCATTTCGTAGAATTATCAGACAATTACTTTGGAAAACGCTTTTTTATGTTATTGCTAAGCAAGTTTGTGTAATCTATTATATGTAGTATATTGATTTGAATTACTGAATAATTAGTCATTGTAAATCATTTGAATGTCTGTATGGGTGAACGCGATTTTGTAAATTAGAGTTGATCACCGAATTAAAAGAGAAAGCTCAGGTTCACTGCCAAATGAAGTATTTATGTATGTGTGTATAACACGATGCATGTACGTATGTATAAAGGGTATACAAGTACATATAAAAATGATTATGTACGCGTGTGAAGTAAATAACTTTTATATAAATTGATGCTGTTTTTTTTTTTTAAATACAAACATAGGTTCGAAGTCTGAAATAATTTATGGTGCTACCAAGCATCTAAAGCGCTATTCAGAGTTTTGTGAAATTAATTTATTTTTTTGTTCTAAGTTTCCTTTCGACATTTTACCAAATTTTTATAGACTCGAATTAGATGCTTTATTTATGCATTAAAATTTAAGATGCTAATGCTAACGTTCTTTTCGATGGAGCTGATGCGAACTTTTTTCCGCAAGAACTGACATTTGATGGCGGGCGGAACGATGCATTTCCGGAGTGTTGCCATATGTGAGTTTTCCGGAGAGGATGTTTAAAATTAAAACAGAGGTTTGAAATTAGATTGCGCCGTGCTGGTGGCGATGACGTTGCTCAAGTAAAAAAAAACAAAGCCGATTTCGATTAAAATGTAACATTTTTACTATTTTACTCAAAAACTGTACAATGTTTGCGTACATATCATTTTATTTGCTTGAAACTAATAATAAATTTTCAGTTTATTTTTTATAAAAGTAAATATACATATAGGTATAAAAATAAAAAAAACAACTTCAAGTTGATATCGGTTGGTGATACGGGAAAAAACAGAAATATTATCATTTCGAAATTTGCTATTAATATTGAGAATGGAACTAAAATCCAAAGACAAAAATTTGCAACACCACCGTTACAACGCAAAATAAATAATTACATTACATATTTATGAAATCAATTTTTACTAAAGATGTTGGAACTTTACTAATTAAGAGATCTTATTAAAAATTTTTGATTCGTGGGAAAACGCAATCAATCAAACTTCGTCACACAAAATGAAATTTTGAATTATATACATACATATTGTACGTTTAAAAGATTTAGTTTAAAGCAGTCATGAAATAAAATAAAACTACAAATTATTGATTAGATTAAAATGGTACCATTTTATGGAACCCTATACCAAAGTACCATCGATGAAAAAATATACGCCTTCTTGTACCAAAGTACCAAGTCTGGCAACCGTGTTTCTGAGGTGGCGTTTAATTTTACTTGAGTAGCGGTGCCACTGACGGCGCCACCTTTGTTCTCTACATCGTGGGTTTGAATAGTGTGCTATAAAGGGTGTTTTAAAAAGCATTGCTTCGTAGTTTGAAAGATAAAATGTTTGCTTAATAAATGAAGAAAAAAAATGTCTCATCAACGATTTTCTTTAATGTATGCAGTTTGCTAAAATTTTTATAAAAATATTTTCGAGTTTTCTAACTTTCCATTTTTGGGCTCACATAATTTTTGGAAAATCTAACATGTTTAGTAATCTTCGGATAGAGTTCTGAAAAATGTTTTACAATTTTTAATTAATAGCACCTGTACTCAAGATTGAATAAATTAACATGCAAGCCTTTTATCAATTTATATATGCGTAGGGAAAAAATCGGCACTTGACCGAAGCTGGCTTGTCAGGATATACGTTAAGTATGAATGTGAAAATGAGGATATAATCCAAACCAATCGTATAACCGCATACATATAAAATTTGATCCACAAAAAAATGTTCCAGTAACCTTTTTACATAAAAAAGAGAGATTTTTTTTAGCGGTTAGGACTCTATATTGAAATACAAAACTATATTGATTTATATAAGCTTCACTTCACACACACATAAACTCATATAGCAATACATATATACACACATATTTGTATGAATTCTAAAAACACATAAAACCCAATAGGGGTATTCTCGAAGTCTTGCAATGCCCTTGCACGGTGCACGGATTGCACGTTAAAAACCGGTTTCCTATGGGACAGCTTTGCAAGGCCTTTGCAAGACTCCGAGCATACCTATCTAATAAGTTAAATAGTAATGTCATAATGAAAATTATAATTTCAAAAAAATAAAATTAAAAAAAATGTTTACATTGTACAGCTACATACTGTGTATTGTAAAGCGTAAGTGTAAAATTATAAAGCTATAAAAAATCTAGTGAAACAACTAGTAAGTTATCTCAATGACACTTTTATCATGATAAGATATGCGATGTCAGTTTATGTATATAGTATATATAATGCGACAATGTGTACTAAAAAGCTACGATCGAATAATTTTTGTCATTTGCTTATAAATTATTTATATGCTAAACAAAAAATGATTAAAACCTCTATTACACATAGCAACGAAATCGCATTGCCGTTTTTTTTTTTCTTCAAAACGATTGGGGAATTCTCTTAAAGACGTAAGACTGGAAAACTCCGAACTCAAATATTTATTTCGTGGAAAATTTTCGCCAACGGTTGTAAGACTTTTAAGGTTTTCGCGGTTTTATGCCGTTTAAGGGAATACCCCTAATTAAATATTTTGCTCAAATTAAGGCTTTCGTCTACTCAAAAAACTTTGCCACATCAAATCAAATACATATATGTATATTACAAGCTGCACTAAGCAAACTATTTCTAATAAGCAACTTTGGTTTTAAAACTAAATATAAAAGTATATAAATCTCAAACACACATATTTAGCTATTGAAAGCTTGTCAGCCACCACTATTCAAAGTAACTTTAATGTAATCCAAGCCAAATGAATTAATTAAAATATGAACGAAAAACAAAAAACTTCAAGATCAAAGTACATATCGTTGCCTAAACGTGAAAAGATGCAAAGCTCATTTTTTTTTTTTTAAATTTCTCGAGACAGACAAAAAATCGCTGTAGTTTCGGCCTTTTCCGTCGCTCTACATCAAAGACTAAATTTTGGAAAAAACGTGGACTGGGCACCTTTTCACCTTTAGGTAGCGATATGTAATCTCTCGTAATTTTACTAAGTACTTATAAGTCGAAAATACGAAGATACTCATCTAGCAGTTACTTTTAAAAAAAAATGAAAGTGTTTTGTTTTCCCTTCCGAACCCTTAAACTTTCTATTGGAGTGATTTCTTGCCCCAAAAAGCAATTAAAGTATTCAAAAAACACTACAACATACACACTTAAAAAAGCACGCATTAGTTCGTAAAAAAACAAAAAATACGCAAAAAGATTTAAAAAAAAAAATCACTTATTCTCAACCACTTACAATTACATATATGCATAAACAGTATGATAGGTTTGTATGGAAATAAGCATAAACTATTCAATAAAAATATAAGCATAAATGCAACCGTAAATTTAATCATAGATGCAAATAAAGTGTAAAACGAATACTTAGTAAGGTATGTTATAAGGATGAAACTTTGTAATTGATAGTAAATTTTGAGAAATTAAACATTAATTGCTTTGAAAAATGTCTGGTCTAACTTTTATTTAAAAGGTAGAAAAAACAATGATAAGTATGTAGTATTCACAACAGCCCTATTCCCGCTCCTCAGTCACAAAATTCACCGCTGTGCCTATCGTTGATGCAGAAAATCTGAAACCAGCTCTCAAAACGCAATATTTTTAAGTGGTGCGCTGGTTTCTTAAATGTTTCCATAGGAATTCACTACAGTCATCAAGGCCTTTTCTACCGCACAGGCACTCAAGTGCCTCAGGTAGTGTTTTCTCAAAAACGAAAATAAAAACCAAACTGTCGAGAACGTTTTCAACGGGAATTATATGAGAACCAAACTCTGTGGAACGATGCCAAACGGAACAAAATTTTTACAAAACTTTGAAGGAACTTTCTCTCAAAGAACAATTTGGGGACTAAAGTCTTAAAAACTTCCTAACAGAACGAAACGGGGGAAAATCTTCTCTGAACTCATAGCGTTGCATTAGTTTGAAATGTTTGAATATTAAAATTAATCAAAAAAAAAAGAACTTAGAGACAATAATGCAAATAAAGAAAACGAAAGACTTAAGACACGAACTTTGCTTCCAAAGAAAATTAAAAATTGTTCTATAAATGGACAGTTCACCCTAATGATAAACCATCTGGAAAGTGCAATGATCCAGCTTTCCTCTGGCTTAGAGTTAACAATCTCAGTTCTCACAGAAACGGGTTTTCCTCCCAATACGTAGACGCTGCTCTCATTCCCAACATTAAGTTCTCAACGCATTTGTTCTCGTTCTGATTTCTAGCAGATCTATTCCCAGACTTTTGTTCTTATTTTATTCTCCGTTAAATCGTTACCGATACTTTCGTTGTCATATCTTTCTCATTGGAAACGTTACCGAAAGTTTCCTTATCATTATGTTCTTCTTGAGAACGTTCACGAGAGTTTTGTTCTTATTTTGCTCTTTTCGAACGCTGCTATAGCGTACAAAAAGTCAATTGTGAAACAGAGATCAATTGTGTTAGCAAGTTTTTTAACGCGTTGTAATTGCTTTGACGAGTATTATAAAGTGTTTGTTGTACAATAAAGTTAATTGTACTGTAATTTGGCATGAACCAATTAGAACAGATGTGACCGGTTGAGAAGCAGCCTTTTGCAACAGCATTTGAGAAAAAAGTGTGTGAAGTTCGTAATTTTGAAGTTTGCTATTTCTGTTTAATTTTTTACATCCCTTTTCTTTATGTGTATTTTGGTGCTGGTTCATTTTAGTAATTTTTAAGCGATTTTTAATAAATTTTTTGTTCAAATGTAATTAAAATGAGGTGCGTAGTAATTGGTTGTAAAAACACGTACAAAAATAATGAATTGGTTTTTTCTTTATGCTTGGTCTTCATATTCTTTGTTTACTATTGGTTCATTTCAAAGAACATAACATGACGCTGAAATTACAAACGTCAGCCAGAAAATTACTTTTTTCTTTTACTTTATCTTGTCAGATATTGTGTAGTTGGGTCATGGTAATTTGGTAATATTCAGCGAAAAGATTTTGTCAAATCCGTCAGGTATTCAAGACAGCGTGACGAGGGGCACTGTGCTCGGGCAACACGCTTTGAGCTCTCGTTCGTCTGTGTAAATTGAAGTAGCGGTTCACAGCTGACAACCAAAATTGCATACAAAAAAGTCGCCGTGTGTAAATAGGTTATAGCAAGAATTATCAAAATATCAGAGAGTAAGGAAAAGTTCGCTCAAATTCTCTCTCATGCTGAGAAACTTGCAAATTTCTGCACGAACGCAAATTTCCAGGAATTCGCAAGTTTCTCTGCCAGCTGGTGTTTACGGTTGCATTTCAAAAATAATATATTTTTATAGAAATTTTAAAATTCTTTCAGATGGAAAAAGGACATACATACATGTATATTTCTTGTTGTTCTGACTTTCTTTAACATACATTTCAATTTCTTTATCGTACTAGATGTCGGGTTTCTTAAATCGACTCTTGGTTGCAATTGCATTCCGATTGCGATTACAATTTTTTTCAGCCGAGTTAAGTTCAAATCATTGCAATTAAATAAATTAATTATATCAAAACTATTTACTTCCTTTTTTCGTAAAAAATTTTTAGAGAAACGAGCAACACCAAAAGGGAATGTGAAAAATCGCGTCGACAAAAGTTTCCGTGTATAAACACAGTCTAACAATACATTTAGAGCTCTTTACGTTCAGAGCTTCAAAATATTTGCAGCTGCGTCCAGCGTGGGCGTTTTTCTTAGATTCAAGAAAAACTTATAAATTTTTTCCTGACTGTTTATATGTTAAATTTTTCTTCGTTTTGCAATCTTTCTACAACGCCTGTCAAACGAAAGCAAAACCCAAAAATGGTTGTTTAAATCTACACTGCAGTCTCTTATGATCGCGTGAACTAAAGGAACATAAAGAACTTTTCTATCCGACTGCTTGACACCTGGAACATAACGAAATTTTTTAATGTGCCTTATTTGAGCGCATAGTGGGAAAAATCTTTTTGTGTCAAAAATTTGTTGGCAAACGTACTTACGATTGTCATTGTGCAATGATTTGGTTTCCATTTCTTAAAGTTGCGATTGTTATGTAATAAGCTTCGTTTTTTTTTTAGATAGAAGAAGCTGAAATTAGTCAAGAACGCAGAACGTATACTTAAACGCAGTCTTTATACGCAGAATTTTGTCGATTATTGGAGCCCTCAGTGTTGCTTACTGCAGTGCTGCCACTCAGCAATGCCTTTTCATAAACTTACCTTTTCAACTACAATTTTTCGTGCTATAATTGATCGTAGCTTAATATAAACTACGTAGTTTTCAACAAAAAACCTTTTTCAATAGTAAATTTCAATTATTTTGAACGTGTTTTGAATAGGAACTTATAACTTATTTACCACCTGCGAAACTGACGAAGTGGCAACCATCTATAGAAGGAAGAAATCAGCTGACACGGAAAAATCTAAATTCCGCAGATTTCTGCGCTACGGGCTACAACTACAGAAAAATTTTGTGGTGTTGAGTTTTCATTTACATGGCGTTCTGGTAAGACAGATCGTGTCAGCTGACTCGGGCTTACGTACCGGTAGGTTTACGTTCTTGAATAATTGCAGCTTTACAGTTTTGATGTTTTCAAACTAAAAAAGAAGCACCAAACTCAAACATTTGCCCCTTTTGAATACAGAAAAACACTAAATTTAGAGCGAAAAGCACGAAGTTGGCAACAGTGCGGCCCTGTTCTTGGCTTCTTTGGTTTTTCTCTACTGCGCCCGCCAATTGTGACAAGAAGAAGAAATATATAAATTCTGTAATTTGTCCGCCGGTATTTACTACAATTTGCTGTGCAACCGTTTTAAGTGAAAAGTCGAAACAAATTGCAATTTTGGAATATTTGCTTGAAAATGTCACAAAGTCCGTTCGCTACCTCAAAACGCGGCCTGATCCAAATCAAAACTCAAACGCCAAAGGCAATGCGGTCTCAACAAAATACAAGTCGCAACGACCTCTCCATTACCTTGTTGCCGAACGATTTATCCCGCATTCTGGACCAATCGCAGCGACAATTGTCCCACAATAATTCTAGTGCATTTTTTGATCATTTCAATCTGACTGTTGGCGACGGTATGACTGCCAGTGAGCGCTCGGTATTAGACGATGGTCAGCAGACGTATTCGCTCAAAGGAAAAACGGATTTGCTATTTCCACAGTTCTTGGAAGTATTACAAAGTCGCACAAATGACTCAGAGGTTTTTGATACCATACAGGATCTGATACAGACATGTGCTGGTGTCGCCGATGAGCTACAAAGAGACCAACGTCAAGTGGCCAACACTGACAAACGCCAAGAAGACAATGCAGTGTGGCTGCATCAGGAAATGAAAACTTGGAAATTGCTATATGCGCTATACAAGGATCGTATAATGGTACAGGCAGAGGGCGGTGGCATGGATTGTGAGATGCCTCCTTTGGGTGGTTCGGAGAAGGAAGTTGTTGCCCAATTGTATGCATGTAAGTATTTTTTCAATGTTTAAATATTAGTTAAACTTCATCTTCATCGTCTCCCTANAAAACTTGGAAATTGCTATATGCGCTATACAAGGATCGTATAATGGTACAGGCAGAGGGCGGTGGCATGGATTGTGAGATGCCTCCTTTGGGTGGTTCGGAGAAGGAAGTTGTTGCCCAATTGTATGCATGTAAGTATTTTTTCAATGTTTAAATATTAGTTAAACTTCATCGTCTCCCTCAGGCAATTCGACGTTGCGTGAATATCAGCTCATGGTTGATTGGCTTGAAGCATGTTACGAGCAAAACGATTCTCAGTCGCAAGTCGGACATATCGCAAATCGGGCAGTTGGTTGGGAAAACACGCTATTCCAACTGCAAAACCGTCGCGATGTTGCCTTCGGAACTGGCGTGGAAATCGTTAAATCGCTTGATCCAGATGCACCAGTTCGCGAACGTCGTCCGCTTCATTCGTTAGATGAGGAAGATAATCTACGTTTATCACGCTGTATTTTCACAGAAATCCGTCAAGGTCACATTGACGAAGCTATGGCGCTTTGCAAACACAGCGGACAAACTTGGCGCGCTGCTATTCTTGAGGGCTGGCGGCTACATGAGGACCCAAACTATTACTCAAATCCAAATGCTAGAGAAAAAATGCCAATTGAAGGTAACCCACGGCGTGATATATGGAAAAAATGCGCCTGGTTGATGGCTGATTCTAAAAAGTTTGACGAATATACACGAGCCATAGCTGGAGCTTTCTGTGGCCATCTAGACTCATTAAAAGCACTCTTAAAAGGGTCATGGGAGGATCTTCTGTGGGCGTATCTGAAAGTGCAGATTGATATACGCGTCGAGTGTGAAATACGTGCGTGCTGCATCAAGGCATACCAACAGCTGCCAGACGGTTATTGGAATGCAAAAATGTCACTTGAACAGATTTTCGAAGAACTCTCAGTTAGCAATGATGCGTCCGTTCGCGACTATGCATGCAGTAAAGTT